TTATCTGACACTGGAGATGGATCAATATCTTCATTATGCGCCATTTTTCTGGCACTGGCATCGAATTCCTCCAAGATGAGTGCTTGCTGCTTGCCTGGAGATGTATTAGTTATCTCGCCCTGCGCCAATCTCCTCCTAACGTCGTCGATTTGACGACCAAGTAACCTCATGAACGCGTCGCGCTTGTCTTCCGCACCAAATTCGAAGAAGAGCTCCTCATGGCCCTTGACTATGATGACGAGTCCATGGTGTCCGAAACGGGTGGCCCTCGATTTCTCGATGCTCAGAATATCGCGGATAGGCAATGTCATCTGTCAATAAGAACTGTTAGTTCAAGTTTTTGACATTTCAATTTAGTCCAAACCCTAGTTCGAGCAATTAAGGGGCCGCTAGACTTGAAACAAAAAAAGTTGGTTGAAATGTACAGTCTACCGAAAACTGGCAGGAGCCTGAAAATGTACCCGGGAAAATCTTCAAGGTGTCAGGAGCGAAATGAAGGGAAACAAATGTCAACATACATCCAAGCAACGTCTCCTTTTCATCGTATGCAAAGGCTGCGCGGAATTTTTCGGTGGCGTCATTATCAACCTGAATCTCAGGCGTCTCCAATATACTGAAGGCCAGATCACCCATATTTGAGCGGCTTGTAGGTAAAGTTGAAATGGTCGTGGAAGAGTACATTTCCTTGATACCAGCACTAGTAGAGTTGGAAGGTATTGTCTGTTCACTCGAGGCTGGACTCCCAAATACGCGCCGTGAGCCTTTTAGCCAAGAGGGTACGCCAACTCCCCAGGAACTGTTCTCTCTGCTCAGGGAAGGATGATTAGGATCAATGTGTAAGATGGAAGTAGAGGGTGGGTACGTGTGATTCAGAGTTGATTGGGGTGTCGGCGTATGCTTGTTTGCAGGCACTTGATGTGTTTCGGGCAAGCCTTCAATGGGCAACGAGCTCACTGGAACAAAGGAAGCGGAGTGAGGGCGGCGTGATATATGGGTAAAGTCTTCGGCTTCGGGGGACTCTGCGACTGTGGCTGGTTGGCTTACTCGACCTAAAGTATCCTGGAATGGCCTTAGTAGTGATGTTAGGCGGAATACTGATGTCTGCTTTGCTGTTGTTGCTGTGCTTTCAGGGGGAAGGCTAACAATTCGGTCGGGTATGGTAATGTGACGAGGGAGAGTGGTGTCAAGGACGGTTTGGGATGCGATGCTTTTGTCAGGCTGGGTGCGATGGGTGCGAACGGCATCGCGTATTTGCTCCAGCGCTGCAGGTATGTCATGGAAATAGGCAAAAAAGTAAGAGTCGACAGAGAAGTGTTCCTCTTTATCAAACACCTTGACTTCAATGGTTTCACTAAAGTCCATTGCGGAAGATTTCTCGACGTCGAGGATAACGGAGTAAGGAATTGCGATCTTTTGGATACTAGTCAGCGAATCCAAAGTAATGAGCGGTAGTTGACTAGTACCTTGACACTGTCACCCATATTTTGGGCCTTGAACATGACCTTTCGAATCGACTTTACCCATTCTTTGCGGTTTGGATCTGAGTCCGCCGACAGGTGCACAGTCTTCTGGTTAGTCCGAACTCTGAAGCCTTTGTCACCAGTGGGATCACAGGAGATGGCGTAACGTAGATCCACTATTCCATGTGGAAAGTATGGATCCTAGAGCAGCTCTTCATTACAAATTGGCGCCGGTATAGATATTCTCTTACCGACGATGATTGATACCACGAAAGAGCATCATTCTTTAATACAAACCAATGCCTTATCCAGCGTTTGGTTCTCTGTGCTTTCTTATTGAGCGATCCAGATTTGAGCACTTGATCCTGATCAAAAAAAATCAATTATGTCCAAAGAACCGCAGGAAGACATATACCTCTTTTGAAGGCATGTGTGCAAAAAAACACAGATAAGAATTGGTGAGGTACATGTATCCTTGTAACACTGGGCAATGGGTGAATATGGGTGAAAATGATATATTCAGGATCCTTACATATCGATCGAAGCAGCCAGCAGGGCATTTCTACACGGGAAGCAGGGCATTTGAAAAAGAAGCATGCACAATGGAGAAGATACGCACCGGCCCAAACTTCCTCGATGGCATCCAGCTCGAACACCTCCTTCAGCTTCTCTGCGAGGCCAGCTCTCCGTTGCAGTCTGACTGTCGCCATGCTTCCAGTTCGTGAATGATTGATCCTCGACTGAGCAAGACCCATGCGCCCCTTCCGCTTTTCGGTACTAACAGAAGGGTTCGAAATCAACGCATCTACAGGGCGTGGGGTTTCCTCAAAGTCTTCAGCATCTGGCTCATCTTCGGACGTTGGAGCATCTGACCCCTCTTCCTGTAACGGAGAGTACGGAGATGTCCCACCACGAGCTGGTGCTGGGATACTTAGCCGGCGAGAGCGGGCCAAGGGACGATGGATGGTATGAATGGAGGAGGCGAGTCGGGCTGAAAGATAAAAACGTCGGAGGAAGGAGCGCACAAGATAACAATAAATACACACAACCTGCTCCAGCGTCGTCTTCGTCGCTGGAAGTCGCATCAGGAGTCGATATATCGTCATCGTTGTCGTCCTCAGTCCACGGGAGTGCCTGCAAGGCTTGGATAAGGGTTTGTGTTCCAGCACGCATCTGGGCAGGCTATTGAAATTTTGTATAAAGAATAATGGAGTCAAACATACCGATCCATCACCACGAAACGGACGCAGAGCTGGCCTGGGTTGTGGGGATGGTGGGGATATAAAGGGGGAGTCATCGTTGGGCGCCGCCGGAGGTAACGACGACTTTGTGGATTTCGAAGATGCAAAGAACGGGAACTCTTCACGGTTTGTAATGGTAGACGAAGAATTGGGTGGTTTCGGGGAGGTGGAGCGCGAAGCGCTTGGGGTTATACTTGACATAGGAGATAACAAATCTGGATGTACTGAGGTCAGCCGAAGCTCTTGGTGGAAGATATACACATACGCACCTTCGATATCAGCAGAGGTATCCTTGGCCTTTCCCTTACGGCTTGTCAGACTAAATAAACGGCGATGTCCCGATTGAGGTGGCGTCATCATGGGACTTGTGCGCCCGTTCATTGAGTTGATGCTGCGGCTGATCTTGTCAACAGATTTCTCAACAACAGTTGAAAGTCGTTTAACGCGACTTGCGGTGGATGCGTTAGTCTCTGGCGTGATCTTGAAGGCCTCTGGAGAAGTATCAATGGTCGGCAAAGCGACTGGTGCATGCGATAGCTGGGAAATAGGGGGTTTTGACATTCTGCGAAAATTTCTGGTGGACCAGAATACGAAGATGATGAGAGCAGAGGGAGAGTTGAGTACTCCAGAGTCGAGCGTCTGGCAGGAGTTGCCGCGCAAACTGTGTAATGGTAATTACGGTGTTCCTCCCAAATCGGGAGATCCTGGCAAACTCCGATCAACATCACGGCAGACACGTTCTCGTCGCGAGCTGGCTCGCGCAAGACAAAAAGGCTCTGTCGAAAGGCTCCTCGAGGCTAGTCACCCGCAGCTGGCTGTAATTCTCGTGCTCCAGCTGCTTTGCTCTTGCCCTCTTTTCCCGGAAGAATAACTTCAGTAATGCGCGGAGAACTATGTGTTGGTGCAGCTTCAGTGTTGTCGTACGTTCCATCCACCCTTTGTACTGAGTTCGTCCTACCGATCATGTTTTTAATTCAGGTTGGTGTCAATGTTACTCATGATCTTTGTACATGTGCGTAGATATTCCGCTTCATCCCATGGTTGCATCTTATACACTTCGTTGTTCAGGTTGGCCAAATAAACACTTCTGTGGTTCCTAGAAAGATTGCGATGGTATGTCTGCTCTACTCCTTGCTCGAAATTTATATCTTAGCTCATCACACATAGGCTACACTCAATGCCTCCGATTACAGGTAAGGAACGGCTATACGACCATGTAACGCCTGTTGACTTTCTATGGTAGCGCTGCCCTCCAAATATCATTCACGGATCCATTCAATAACATATACACGACAAACGCCAGTGCCCCTCTCGGCAAGCAGGCTGGCTTACGAAAATTCTACGACTTTGGCCTATACTCACACTGTGCCTACGTGAACGCCTCCCATGGCACATGCGGAAACCTTACCATTGGAGAGCAATATCGACCCTATGATTCCATAACGTCTGACATGGCTGCCAACTATTCAAGAATAACCGCTGCGCTTCTTTCTGGTACAACCTTCCAAAATTCATCATATCTGGGAGAGTCCACCAAAGCTGCCTACTGGATGCTCCTCCTTGGTACTGTTTGTGCCGCATTGGCTTTACTCACGTCAGCCATTTCGTGTTAATGTGCAACATGTCGACTGACACAATTACCCCGTCCCCCTAGTGGTATTCTGAAGAATAACCTTACATTTTTTGTCTCTACAATTTTCTCTATCTCTGGTAGCCTTCTGCTTGTGATCGGAGCGAGTATTTGGACCGTCATGATCAAGAAATCTGAAGATATAAATGATATACTTATCGGTACCCCCTCAAACCCAGTTCAAATAGGAATCGTTCTATCCGCTGGTTCTGGACTGTACTTGACATGGGCTGCCTTCGTTTGCTTAGTCGTCTCCGTCGTACCATATATGATTAGGTGTGTATTCTCTCGATTCTGAATGGAGGAGATGTTTACCATGGGTTATAGCTGCTGTACATATCGAGGATGATTTACCGGCCTAGATGCCGGCAAACGATACCAACGACCATGCGCCACATTTTCCTCACCACAGTGACCCCGGATTGACCTCCAACATTATTTATTGGCGTGCTGCATTTTTGAAGGGAGGACCTTCTATATCCTTTTTTGATTTATTACCCTTACTACAACACTACTACCGCATTCAATAGAAAAACATCATGTCAATCAATGCATTCATCCTGCCAAGAGCCTTGAGTACCCAAGGTAGCTCAGCGCTCAGCGCTCAGTATTCAGCACTCAGTGCTGATAGAACATTGAAAGTTGGGCTGAGGAACAAAAATTGTTAGTAGCCCACCGCGAGGGTCGAACTCGCAGCCTTCAAATCACCCGACGTCATACCCTAAGAGTCTGACGCTCTATCCGATTGAGCTAGGCGGGCTGTGGTACTCTCCCATGTGATGAAAAAGCTTACATAATGACTCCGCCCCGATTACGTATTCATGCATGGAAACAACGAGGGTCAGGGGTAACGCCAACAAGTTTCTCAAAAACGGACACTCTTCACCGTTTTATTTTCGCTCCTTTCCCCTCACTTGATCTACACATCGTCTCCCCCTTTCCTTCTCCCCTCTCCGTCACTCTATTTCACAGTGACCCCTCTCACTATGCGTGCCACTTTTAAGGCCACTACGCTCATTGCTGCCTTTGCCCTGACCGGCACCCAGGCTATTTCGAAGATTTCCCGGGCAGGAAGATACCTATACCAAGATGATGGTACACGTTTCTACATCAAGGGAGTTGCATATCAAGAGCAGGGTAAGTGTACAATCGCCTTTGAGCCATGCGCTAAATTACTTATTACACACATAATTTTCAGGAGTCGTAGTCCAAAGTTCCGACAACGATTTCGGCGAGCCTTCTAGCTTTATCGATCCCCTGGCTCTTCCGGATGCCTGTGCCCGCGATTTGCCTTACTTGCAGGAGCTTGGTGTCAACGCAATTCGTGTGTATAGTGTGAACTCTTCCCTGAATCACGATGCATGCATGACAGCCTTTAGCAACGCTGGCATTTACACCATGTTCGTACTCATCAGGGGATTTTCTCTTCGTTGGCGCTGATTAAAATCCCTCAGCATCGACCTCGCACTCCCTCTCAACGGTTCTATCGACCGCATTACTCCTTCCTGGTCGACAAACCTTTTGGATCAATACATAGAGACCATCGACGCTTTTAGCAAATATGATAACGTCCTCGCATTTAACGTCGGTAACGAAGTTGTTATAAATAACGGGACGGCTGTGGCACCATACGTGAAGGCCGCGGCTCGGGATATCAAGGCATATCTGTCAGTTCCCATCCTACACATCTTGCTGCTGGTTTACCTTTTTTCTATTGTTCCAGGAAATCAAAATCATCCTCCGTCCTTGTCGGATATGCTGCGATCAACGGTGCAGGAAACTTCCGGGACCCTCTCGCCAATTACCTTTCTTGCGATAATTCCGGCGCCAACGTAGATTCGACTGCCATCGATATCTACGGCCTCAATGACTAGTCAGTGTCAAATGCTCTGGTTTTTCTTCTTCATGCACATTAACTTGCCCACAGTGAATGGTGTGGCGATTCGACATTCCAGCAATCTTACGCTGGTACAACCGGTGACTTTGCGGGCTACAATGTCGTTGCCTACTTCAGTGAATTTGGATGTATCTCGGTAACTCCCCGTCTCTGGACAGAGACCGGGGCCATCTTCAGTACCGACATGTCCCCTGTCTGGTCTGGTGGTGTTGCTTTCTCCTACTTCCCCGCCGCTAGTGTTCAAGGACAATTCGGTATTGTCACTATTTCTACTGATGGCAAGACTGTCACGACTAGCCAAGACTTCGATAACCTCAAGACGCAATACAATCAGGCCACAGGTCCCAATACACCCTCTCAGAGCAGCTCCCCCCCATCCGCTTACCCTGCTTGCCCCACAACCAATTCTACATTCGTTGCTTCCACCACACTACCCCCAACCCCTAATGAGGCTGCTTGCAATTGCTTGCTTAGCTCCCTCAGCTGCAGATTTACTCCTCAAACCTCTAATTACTCTGTTATTGTTGGCGAGCTTGTCGATACTGCTTGCAACTTTGTCGGTCAGAAGGGTGGTTCTTGCGATGATATTGGAGGCAATGGTCAAACCGGAGTGTACGGACGCCTCTCTGGCTGCGATCCCAGTAAGATTTTTTATTATTGCCATTCCTCCACCCCGATGCTGACTATCGATATCCAGCGATCAAACTTTCCTATGTCATGACTGAATACTATCAGCTCACCAACAACAATGCGCAGTCCTGCAGCTTTGCTGGTAACGGCACTATTAATCCCTCTGCTCCATCCTCCGCCTCTGCTGCCAATGCTGCCGCGAGCTCATGTATATCCAATCCTTCTGCTACCTTCGTACCCTCAGCGCCTGCTAGCACTGGTGGCAGTAGCAATACTGGTGGCTCGGGCAGCGGAAGCTCTTCTGCCCCCGGCAAGAACAATGGTGCTTTGAACCTGATTGGTGATAATAACGCCCTTGTTGGTATGACTATGGTAGCCCTCTTCAGCATTGCAAGTGCTGTCTGGACCCTAGCCTAAGCGGCATAAAATGCTGTTTATGGTGTCTGTTCTTATGGATCTATCCGTGCAGGACTGCTTTACAAATAACTGCTACAGACATTGCTACTCAGTTACTATCATCTATTATTCTCGTACTAGTGTACTCGTTTGGACTTTGGTTATGGAAACACACAGTCCTAACTTGATGGACGGACCCTTAATCGGAACTTGAAAAAAATTTGATTGCATTTGTCTCAAGCCTTCGCTGAATATTCCTCTGAACAATCCGCGGTCAGCATCTACAAGCATCTTCTTTCATCTTCCCATGGCGCCCTCAACAAATGAAAGCGACCAACCCCAAGCTCAACAGGATAGTTGGGGGCCACAAGATGATCAGCAAATGGGCCCAGGCAGCATCCCCGAATCTGCCAACGGGGCACCATCTTTGCCTATGGATGACGACCGCACTATTGGTCAACCTGGTGACAACCCAGACTATCCCCGTGGCTCAAGTGCCAGCGCAGTGAGCGCTGCTGAGGGAAAAGATATCTCTTTTCGCGAAAAGCAAGTGAAGGTGCTTAGGTCTCTTCTTGTTCTTTCACGTCCTCTCCCGTGATAATATGCCCCTTGCTTTGCTCCATACCACTCGTGGTTTTCCACGCCGGGCTGGTACTTTGCCTGAGTTGCCTTAGTACTACCATTAATGATTCTTAGCTCGGTTGCTTTGGATTTGCTTGGTTGTCTTCACGCTTTCGGAGGCTCGCTCTAGCTCGGGGCTGGTCGCAACTTCTTCTGCCGTTTCCGTGCGCATTCTTGACTGGGTGTTTACCTTCTGCTGTGTAGCCGAACAAAGTCTATATTGGTGGTCTACCCGAGCATACACAGCAAGAGGACCTTCAAAGCTGTTTTGGGAAGATAGGCAATATTGTGAATATTGAACTAAAGTAAGCTCGCAGCTACTGCTCTTCGCCAATCTTTGCCTGACTGTTTCACTTTAGAGTTGGATATGGTTTCGTTGTACGCCTGATTCTTTTTTGTACTTGTGCTAAAACTCATCTGCCACAGGAATTCGATTCTCGGGAAGCGGCTGAAGAAAGCGTGGCGAAGTATCATGAAGGTTATTTCATGGGTAGTAAAATTCGCGTCGAACTTTCGAGGGGCGGCGGTCGCACTGCTAAGTATGCAGGCGATCCGGGAGCTTGCTTCAAGTGTGGTCAGATGGGCCATTGGGCTAGGTATGTGGTGCACGCAATCCTGGTGTATGAAGTTGATCCCCCCCACCCCTCAGGGAATGCCCCAATCATACTGGATTGTAAGTGAGAATGTAATTATGACATATGGTTTGCTCACGTCAAAACAGAATTCCGCAGCGACGCCCGTACGAGTCTCACTCAGTTGCCAGCATTCACAGCGAGAACTCTCAACATCCTCACAGAGATATGCCAGGTCGCCATGATATGGGGATGGGACGCGTTCCCCCTCGAGACGTTCGCTATGACTATCCGCCGCGTGATTTCAGGAGGCCTCCATCTCCCAGGGATTATCGAGACTATCCACCACTGCCTCCTCCAGGTAGCCGCGACTATAGGGATGACTACAGGCGTGGAGCACCCCCGATGCCTGACCGAGACCGGTACCCTCCACCCCCTGCTGACTACAGAGGACGCTACCCTCCAGCTGACCCAGCTCACCGAGGTTATGGCGGGGCCCCACCTGCTGCTCCTCCCCCTGGTTTCTATGATCGCTATGACCGCAGGCCTGTAGAACGATATCCCACTGGCTATCCTCCCCCGCCTCCCCCGCCTGGAGGTCGCCCAAGGACGCCCCCGAGATATCGCGAGGACTTCAACCGGTAAGTATCCAATCGCACCGCAAAGATATTATCAATAACACACCAACAGGGATTATGACTATCGGGGTCGTCCTCCTACTCCGCCCCCTCCGGCTGGGCGCTACGACGAGTATCGTTCCGTTCCTGTAGATCAAGTGGCACCAGCCGCCCGATACAAGTACATTGTTCCGCTTGTCTCCGTAGAGTCGTTAAGTTGAGCTTATCCTTAGGCGTCGCTCCGAAAGCCCTCGTCCTTACGACCATACCTATCCCGGTGGACCTGGGTACACTAACGGTTACCCGGGCGGAACAGCAGGTGGCCCCCCTCCTGGTCCTCTTCCACAACGTGGAGGTGCACCCCCACGAGGAGATTATATGCCACCTCTTCCGCGTAATGGTCTAGACACTTCCCCTACTGCTTATCGAAGACATTAGGAGAAACAAAAAAGTACTCATCTGCATACCGCTTGTTGGTTTTAGAAGCGAGTAATTACCACATGTCGTGTTTCCCTTTCTTCCAGTTGTTTGATCCCCCATGCCTTGCTCTCTGTATTTTTCCATAATTTATATATATGAAGAGGAATCAAATCGATATTTCAAGTTATATTTCCTAATCCAAATATTGGAATTTTATCAAGTATCAACGTGCAGTCTGCGCTAGTCCAGCCATGCTGTATAACAGTTCCTTATCGCCAGATTCGTCCACGAGCGCCCGTAGTTTTCCCTGGGGCAGCTTCAATAATTTCTTGGGGCTATCGAACTCCACGATACGACCCGCATCGAGCACCATCTAAAGGATAGCTATAACGTACGATTCTAACGTAAATTAAAATGAACTCACAATTTTGTCAGCGTCCATGATAGTCTGTAAACGGTGGGCGACAGTGATTAGTGTCACATCCCCACGTAACTCTTGGCGAAGAGAGCTTTGGATGATTGAGTCTGTTTTGTAATCTGCAAGACTAAATAAAAATCTGCAGAAAGATTGTCTGATGATTAGGGTTTACCAATTGCAGAAGTGGCT